GAGGGTTCTTCCATCGATCGAGGACAACAGCTCGATTTGAATCCACACCCAAGAGCATTTTTTTTATGTGCTTTCGAACTGCTAGGTTGGCAGAAGCTGGGACAAGTCACGGGAGCTCACTCGGTTACGCGGCGCTGGGGATTCGAACCCCCGAACTTGCCGACCTTTCTGATCGACAAGCTCTTAGCCTCTGTGCCACTTCTAACTATTCAATTCTAACGTTCTCTTTTGCGGGCTTGCCAACCTACAGAAGGTATCCCCTTCTGGTTAGAAGTGAGACACAGATACAATCGACACAAAGATGTTATCAGATTAAAGTGAATCTTCTTTTTTTTGGGGGGTGGGTGAGGAAGATCGTCATGTTTTTCCAGAGTTTATCCTAACCTGGGCATAAATTTGCTAGTGTGTCGCCATGAAAATCCCGTCACTGCGCGGGGATGTGAAAGGTAGACAAACGCAAAGTGGGTCGAGCCAGATGTTTTTTTGGTTTCGTCTCCCTCTTGAGGACGGAGCGATGATTTCCAACCCATCATGGGATACCAGACTTTTAAGAGGCAGTCGTCCTGAATAAAACACAACAGAGGGAAATGTCAGGGTTCCAAATTAAATCAAGAGTCCGAGGCAAAGGTGAGCAGAGGGGTTGGACTAGGAGACCTCCGAGGTCCCTTCCAACTCTGTTACGATGTATTCGGTACTCTATCCACCTTGCTCCCTCCTTCTCCTCCTCTTCTTCCTCTTACCCTCAGCTTGAGAATAGTTTTGTCCAAGAGCCGACCGGTGACAGGGAGCCGCAGCAGAGGGATGAAAGAGCCACATGCGGCTCCAGAGCCGCAGGTTGCCAACCCCTGCTCTAGCTAACAAATCAAACTTTCCAAGCACAACGAATGTGAAAAGGAAAGCCCTTGCCTTCCAAAAAGGAAGCTGGCTAATCAAACTTGACAGTCAGACGGGGAGCGATCAACTATTGGGCTCAGCATATTCAGGAAACGGATGTTATCTCTAGATCTAGATAATAGATACGAAGAAATCACATCCAGGCAAGGGAGCCACAAATGACCTGCCACCAGTGGCATCTCGGTGTTTGGTTCTCAACCGAACCATTTGGGAGGACAGATCTAAGCGGGGAAGAAATTCAGGAACTTGGCTGATCATATGCGGCAAGGCGTGTAAATTTGCATTAGAATGTTTCAGGAAGTTCCCCATTCTCTTACAAAAAAGCCACTTCCTCTTCAAGCAATCAACGTTTTTGGCCTCATTAGTGGTCTTCTACATTTCACCATCAAGGGCCATGTTCTTTTTACATGTTTTTTCACATTGGAAAAAAAAATTCTAATTTACATTCTTTTACATTTAAACTGGCATTATCTACCCAAGCTAATTGCCAGCACCTCCAGGGTAAGTCAGAGGAAGTGACACACAGTCCTAGCAATTAAGAGTGGAAATCTTCTCTGGCCAAAGTTAGAACATCTGCTTGAGTTATTTAATCCTGATGCTTGTGAGTTACACACGGACATTCCAGTGGTGGTTCCGGATCCCGTCGCAATTGGCATGCTGCGATGGGGCTGGAGGTCCACCTCGGGCACGCGCATTGCGCACGCATGCACATGCCACCATATATATACATATATGTATACACACACACACACACACAAACACACGGATCAATATACAGACATACTTACCCTCTCACCATAAAGTAATTCTATTTTACTGACCACAATTAATATCCTTCAGAGTCTGACTGATTCAAAACAGGAATTAATTTTTTTTTTAATAAAAAAAGCCTTTTACCTTCCCAGCTGTTGCAAAATATTCGCCATCCGGTGACCACTCCATCAAGTAGACAGAAACTGCTGTCCTAAAGAACAACCGAAAAGTCAATTCTCAACTTTAAAGGCGATGGCAGTTTTAAATAGCTATTGCTATAAATATCGCAAAAGCTTTACAATGTCAAGGTAGGTTACCCATGTCAGGCTGTTGTCATGGACACTCGAAATCTTGTTAGCCACACAGAATTAATTGCTGCCCGACATGATGCATTAAAAAAAAAAAAAACTAATTATATCGTCAAAGCTGAATATAGCCTAAATC